GCACTGGTACCAGGCACTTGAGATGTTTACTCTTTTCATTAAATTATTTTCTTCTTAAATATTTAATGCTTAGGGATTTTTATTCAAATGTATAACACAAAATGCAATGGCTGATGTGGCAGGAAGTTTTCATTGCATTATATGAGGTCTTGATACTATTTAAAAATTTTATCTATGAATCCAGTGATCTAGTGGACACAGCAAAAGAGTTATAACCCCAATTTTAACAGCCTTGGGCACAGCACGAGTTTCTGTCTCAGTTTCAATATCTGTAAAACAAGCATCATAATTTAGTAAGCCCCACTAGAAGACAATGAAATATAACTAATTAGTGTTTACAGTCTGGTTTGATGAAAGTCATTAAATGTAGTGTTATATTATTTTGTAAATGATTGTTAACTTTGACAGAGAAATAATTGGCTTCTGACAGCAAAGCTTTCTGATGAAAGATTTTATAAGAGGACTCAGCATACTTTTTGCCCATGGACTTCCTTCTTCAGAATAGTTAAATGTAATGTGTTCAATATAAAGTCAATGGGGGCATAAGACACAGGTCATGACCAATTATACATGCAGGTGTTCAGGAAAGACACAGAAGATACACTAGAGGGTAGGAAGGGGTGGCATAACTCAGGGGTGGGAGCACAGAGAACAGGGTGCTACTCCCCCAATGCCTTCGCCAATTGTGGTCTGCTGTCTTCTCCCACACTCCCTCTGGAAATGATCCGGTGATACATTATTATTATTATTTTGTCTTTTTCTCCGGGTCCTTTCTATCACAACATTATTGTTTTACACTAAAGACTGACAACTGAGTCTTGTCTAATTGGCATAGAACTAATGAAGCTCTTGGTGAATAAGAAGAAATGTGAACCACAGATTGCAAAGTCCTACTTAAACTGGTGCTTGACACCATTTATTCATCCATATCTCCTCTCACTGAGAAATAGGACATTGATAGGCAAATAAGATGAGTGCTCAGGCAGATAGGGTGACTTTTAATCATTGGGTGCAGGGAACATTGGAGCCACACCTGACAGTGATCAGAACTTATTCCTGTCTCTGTGCTCAGGGATCATTCCTTGGCAGTGCTAAGGGGACCATATGTAGTGCCAGGAATAGAACCAGGTTGGCCACATGCAAGGCAAGCACCTTACCTGTTATAAAGGTATTTCTCTGGCCCACTTTTAATCACTTTAATGAGGTCAGTGAAAGGACAGTAAAAGCAAACAGGGAGGGTCAAAGAGTTAACTCAGAAGGTTAGAGAGCATGCTTTGCTTACAGGTGGCTCAGGCTTGATCTCACCACCATGTTGTCTCACTATCACCACCTACAGTGACTTCTGAGCACAGAGCCAAGAATAGCCCCCAAATACCTAGAGATGTGACCCCCAAACAAAAAAGTAAATGTGTATATTTTAAGTCTATTCACAAGAGTATTGGTGAATATGAAAATCAAAATTGAATAACTGAGAAACACTAAATTAAAAAATTTCAAAGTATATTTATATGTAAAATAACTGTCAGAGATGAGAATTAGTCAAGGAAGCCATGGAATTTCTAGATTGAAAACTACACATGATAAAGAAAGAGACATAATGTACCAGCTAGTGTGCTATAAATGATCAAAACAAGGGAAAGCATCACAGAAAAGGACCTAGTAGACAAAAAGGAAAATAAATTACTAGTTTGGAAAAAAAGAAAAGAGAATGGACCTCATCCATTAACAAACTAGCATTATTCAACCATTTGTGTAACATGTCTTTGGTACCTAACATCTTTGCCCTCAGCTCCATTTAAGGGAGAGAGAGTTATGTGTACCAGTACTCATATATTAATAGGGTATATGCTGTAATCGAGGTATTGAAGTTCATCGACAAAAATGGATCAATCCACCCATATAGTGACAAGTTTTCCCAGGGGCCAGAGAGATAATACAGCAAGTAGAGTGCTTGGCTTACATGCGGCCAACCTGGGTTCAATCACTGGCATCCCATATGGTTCCCTGAGCACCACCGGTTGTGTTTCTCCTGCCTACCTCCAACAACAACAACAAAGAAGGAGAAGGAGGAGGAGGAGGCAGCAGCAACCAAAAAACAAAAAATTTTTCAATTATGATGGTATCTGATCTGGGTCTGGACAAGTTAGCAAGCTGAGAAAAAATGGTGCTTCAAGGCCAAGGAATAGCACACACACACACACACACACACACACACACACACACACACACACACATTACTGCCAGAGTGCTACAGTGCAAGTCTCCACCTATTGACTTGAAACAGCATCTCTTTCTCATTATGGCTCATAGGACTAGACTGAGGCCATTCTGCTGCCCTGAACATGGCTTGGTGATGTTGGGCTTGTTCACAGGTCTGAGGTCCGCTGGCAGGTCTGCTGTGGGCTGGATGGCTGGAGTTGGCCTCAGCCAGATGACTCAGCATCACTCCACTTGGTCTCATCATGCACTGGAACTGAGTCTTGTCCAACTGGTCTATCACAAATGAAGCTCTGTGCACAGTGGAGGGTGGGGGGGATATAAAGAACTGAAACCACTGGTTACAAAATCCTACCTAGTTGCCAGTAAGCTTGTGGTTAAGCAATTGCTCAGCCACTCTCATTCATTCATTCATTCAGAAAGTGTTCTCGTTCTAAGTTGGAGAAAATGGAGAATGTTGGGTTATGATGAAGAGTCTTGCTGCTTCCAAGCGTTGGACTAGAAAATACAGTTTATAAGCCAGTGTCCAGAGCAAGAGGCATAATTAAGCAACAGCTTTCCTCTTGGAGAATCGATTTACTCTTTTCTTTATTGCAGTGGTTCCTATCTCAGGAATACTAGACTTTCCAATGCAAATGAACAATTAAAGCCAAGAAAGTTTCCCCTTTTACCTCTTCTGTGGAAGTTATGATTTGGACCTTGGTCCTGACGAAACTTTCAGGTTCTGAAAATAAGATGTCTGCTTCTTTTGAAAACTCTTTGGAAAGCATTTATAAATCTTGGTCTCAAATTCTTCACTTATGTATTTATGTTGAGATGTAAAGTGTATCCTAGTTTTTATAATGTTGAGTTATGTGTATATATACATCTATCTAATACCAGAGTTTTCATAAATACTTCGTCTACTATAAATATTGGTTCCCCGGAGTTATTTTAAAAATTAGTGTAATATATTGAAATCAAGTGTGAGGAAATTTCTTGATCTCACTTCAGTAATTTTTACTTTTGAATTGTATCTATCTCTGGACTATAATTATACTCAACACCTTTTAAGGTTTCACAAAATAACAACTTTTCTAGCCTTCAAAAATGCAAGAGAGTGATGAAATGCAAAAGGCAGCTCTATAGCCCTGACTCAGGCTACTGCTTTATGGATATTTCAGATATATTCTACTAATTGAAGCAAATCACAAGACCATTCATGCTTAGAAGGTGGGGAAATAGACCCCACCTGTTGATGGGAGAAACCACAAAGTCACATTGATGATAGAGAAAAATGGGAAAAAATACTGTCAATCAATCTGTTTAGAAATATGAAAATAAGACATATTTCATAGGAGGCCAAGATATAGGTGTGATTTATTTATTTATTTATTTATTTATTTATTTTATTAGTGAAACACCATAAGGTACAGTTGTAGACTTACAAACTTTCGTGCTTGGGTTTCAGTTATACAATGATCGAGTACCCATCCCTCCACCAGTGCCCATTCTCTACCACCAGTGATCCCAATGATCCTCCCACACACCCCCATTCCCCCCACCCTACCCCGTCTCCATAGCAGGGCATTCCCTTTTGCTCACTCTTTCCTTTAGGATGTTGTAGTTTGCAAGAGAGGTACTGAGTGGCCATCGTGTTTGGTTTATATTCTTCTTTCAGCACGCATCTCGCATCTTGAGCGAGTCCTCCAAACATTCTTTACTTGGTATTCCCTTCTCTATCTGAGCTGCCTTTTCCCCCAGTACATGCTGCCATCTTCCAATCTGTGGAGCAGACCTCCTGGTACTTATCTCAACTATTCTTGGGTGTTCGACTCCCATTCTGTTCCTTTATATGCTCCAGATGAGTGCAGTCTTTCTATGTCTGTGCCTCTCTTTCTGGATCATTTCACTTAGCATGATAATTTCCATGTAGAACCACTTGTATGTAAATTTCATGACTTCATCTTTTCTAACAGCTGCATAGTATTCCATTGTGTAGATGTACAAAAGTTTCTTTAACCAGTCATCTGTTCTTGGGCACTCAGGTTCTTTTTCCAAATTTTGACTATTGTGAACAGTGCAGCAATGAACATAGGAGTGCAGATGTCATTTCGATTGTACTTTTTTACCTCTCTGGAATATATTGCCATGAGTGGTATTGCTGGGTCAAATGGGAGCTCATGATCACGACCACGATCATCCTGTTGTTCGTCGATTGCCTCAAGCAGGCACCAGTAACATCTCCTTCATCCTAGCCCTGAGATTTTAAAAAGTGCCACATTCAAGGCTCTTTCAGGGTTAGGAGAATGAGACCGATTATTGTTACTGGTTTTTGGCATATTGAATACACCACGGGGAGTTTGCCAGACTCTGCCGTGCAGGCAGGACACTTTCGGTACCCTGCCAGGTTCTCCAGAGTAAGAACTAGATAATAAGATGTAGCTTCTGGGAGCTGGGTTTTATAGTCTCTGGTTCTTGGCTGTTGATGGGATCACACGGCGCCGCGGGGGCAGGGGGGGAGGCAATTGGTGGGGTGAACCCTGCCTATTGGAAGGTGGAGGATCTGGGTGGAGGATGCTCAGCCCTGATCCGAGCAGGCTTGGAGATCAGCCTCTGGACCCGCATGCCTTGGTTCCTCTGCTGGTACCTTCATGTGTGTGGAGAGTGTCTCAGCATGGTTGTGGCTGGTTCTGGAGGTCTTCGGCTGCCGGAGCTCTACTCGGGATGGGGAGGGAAACTCAACCCACCCCACTCCAAGGAACCCCGGCGAGGACAGCCAGGCGCCAGGGCAGGAAACTCTTTGTAATTTGTGAAGTGTTCCATATTTTTAAAATTGGAACAATACAGAGAAGATTAGCATGGCCCCTGCACAAGGATGACATGCAAATGGGAGCTCAATTTCTAATTTTTTAAGAATCGTCCATACTGTTTTCCAAAAGGGCTGAACCAGTCGGCATTCCCACCAGCAGTGAAGGAGAGTCCATTTCTTGTCACATCCGCGCCAACACCAGTTGCTTTTGTTCTTTTGGATGTGGGCAGTCTCTGTGGTGTGAGATGATATCTCATTGTTGTTTCAATATGCATCTCCCAGATGATTAGTGATGTAGAGCATTTTCTCATGTGTCTTTTCGCCATTTGGATTTCTTCTTTGAGAAAGTTTCAGTTCATTTCGTCGCCCCATTTTTTGATGGTGTTGGATGTTTTCTTCTTGTGGAGTTCAACCAGTACTTTGTATATCCTTGATATCAACCCCTTGTTGGATGGGTATTGGGCGAATATTCTTTCCCATTCTATAGACTGTCTTTGTATTTTGGTCACTGTTTCTTTAGAGGTGCAGAAGCTTCTTAGTTTAAATAGTCCCATTTGTCTATCTCTGTTTTCATTTGCTTGGCCAGTGGTGTCATCTTTGAAGATAAAGTTAGCTTTAATGTTGTGTAGGATTTTGCCAACTTTGTCTTCAATGTACCGTATGGATTCCAGTCTGATGTTGAGGTCTTTGATCCATTTTTATCTTATTTTTATACATGGTGTTAGGTAGAGATCTGAGGTCATTTTTTTGCATGTAGCTATCTAGTTTTGCCAGCACAATTTGTTAAAGAGGCTTTCCTTGTTCACTTCACATTTCTTGCTCCCTTATCAAAGATTAGATGATCATATGTTTGGGGGGGAGATGTCAGTATATTCAACGCTGTTCCATTGGTCTGCAGCTCTGCCTTTGTTCCAGTACCATGCTGTTTTAATTACTACTGCTTTGTAGTAGAGTTTGATGTTGGGAAGGTTGATTCCTTCCATTTTCTTTTTCCCAAGAATTGCTTTAGCTATTCGTGGGTGCTTATTGTTCCATATGAATTTCAGGAGTCTTTGCTCCATTTCTTTGAAGAATGTCATGGGAATCGTTATAGGGATCACATTGAATTTGTACAATGCTTTGGGAAGTATTGCCATTTTTACAATGTTAATTCTTCCAATTCATGAGCAGAGGATATCTTTCCAATTCCTTGTGCCCTCTTTTATTTCCTGAAGTAGCCTAAAACCTTTACCAAGAAACTCCTAGAAACAATAGACTTGTATAGTAAAGTTGCAGGCTATAAAATCAATACCCAAAATTCCATGGCTTTCCTATAACGCAAATAATGAGAGAGAAGAAAGTGACATGAAAAAAACAATCCCGTTCACAATTATGCCCCAGAAAATCAAGTACCTAGGAATCAGTTAACTAAGGATGTAAAAGACCTGTATGTAGGTGTGATTTAAACATAAACTTCAAGCGGAAAAAGTGATAGACTTGTCTGACTTGAGTGATAGGACTGTAAACAATATTTTAGGTGTTCTGTTTGGGATTTTTGTCCTTTGGGGATTGGGCCATACCCCTTGGTGCTCAGCGGCCACTCCTGGTGGTGTTTAGGAGACTATGTATGGTGCCAGAGATTTAAATAGGGTTGGCCATATGCAAATAAGTGTCTTAACTCCTATACCATGCCTCTGGTTCCATTGTGTGTGTGTGTATGTGTGTGTGTGTGTGTGTGTGTGTGTGTGTGTGTGTATGTGGTGGAAGGGACCATATTAGGCCTCAAACTTATGAGGCTCTACCACTGAGCTACACACCCAATCCTATTTTGAAGTTTTATTTTGTATTGCTTTTTTTTTGGCAACTGGAAAGTTATGTGATAAATGTGATTGCATCTGTATTCTGGGGAAGTACATTCATACGAGAATATATTGAAGGAAAAGAGAGACTGGAATTTAAAAGACCAGTTTAGAAGCTAATATGGCTATAAATCATCAGGTTTTGTACAAGAGATAAGAAACAGACAGCAAAAAGGATAATAAATTTGAAAAAAGGGTGGGGACAGAATTGATGATTAAATATGTGATACTAACTCTTGTTATTTTTCCTCTTTGCCATGATAATAATGCCTCTTAATTTTCTTAATTCAAAATCTAGACAACAGTTTTTGCCTCCCTTGAAACTAAAGGGACTATGGAGACCGCCTATTCCGTGAGATGCAGCAGATATGTCACCAGCAGCTTCCTGGGACCTTTTCTCATAATCACCCTGTGCCCCTAAACTACCTTTCCTTCCTTTTGCCTGTTGCCTGGGATATAGGCCATAAACTGTCCTTTTCACGGCCAGAAATATAAGGGTTGCAGCCTGAGAATAGTTGAGAAGCATGCTGCAAGGCACCTGGATTTAAAGAGTTAATAGAATGAGGTAGCAGTCAACCTTGAACCTCTTGCCTAATTCCCAACTTTGAAATGAAAAGTAGCCATGATCACATTTGGACTTCTGTTATCTGGGGTGTCGGATATTCCCCAGTTAGCCTAATCTGAACTATTACAGCCGTAGAAGGAGAATTTAAGCTATATTTGTGTCCCGGTATTGGACCAGCAGGCTCCAAGAGGTTTGGGAATTCATTAGATATCTGGTAGGTTTATAATACCTGGAGAAAAGGCAGCAAAATATCTTGAACTTCTGGGAGAAATATGACAAAAACCTAGAGAAGGATACTGAAAAGACATATCTAATACTTAAAACTCTATTCTATCTTTGGTAGTTTGTATAATTTTCTTATTTTTCTTAAGTGCAATTAATAATTGAATGTTAGAACTTCACAAATACTTTGAAAAATGAAAGACCAGTATTATAAGACCAGTATTATAGCATAATAAGAAAAACATCACAAAGAAAAAAATCATCCCAACCTTCCTACATATAAGAATCTTCAAGAAAATGTCAGTAAACTGAATCAATCATCATATAAAATATGAGCAAGTAGAATTTATCTCAAAGTATAAGCTTGATTGAACACATGAAAATCAGTTGTGGGATACATCATGAGTATCACACAATATGTGGATACATAAAAGACAGAATTCACACAATCATTTCAGGCACCACAAAAAACAACTTGTGAGGCAAGCTTCTTAAGCTCTGTACAGTATTTTTCAGACTCCTGTTACAAAAATTAACACACATAAGTGTGAAAGCTAAAATAGTAAAACTCTTTGAAGAAGGGGCTAGAGAGATAGCTCAAAGCACTGGATTAATGCCTGGCATGCATCGGGCCCCAGGTTAGAAACTTCATATCAGGTGCACTAGTTAGGATTAGATTAGCTCAAATTACATTTGTTTTAATCAATGATTTTTTTTTAACATGGAGGTAAGGAATAAGAAGCACAAAACCATGACAGCTACTAACTAGTAGTGGCCAGGGAAGTTCTGAAAATGAAGAATCCAGAGGTAGCTGTAGACATCCTAGTTTGTGTTCTTTTCACATTTGTCTCTGCAAAAGATAGGTTGCAGTTTGGTAGAACTACCGGCATCTACATACGCTTCACTGCAAAAGGAACCAAGCAATTTTGAAGGATTAAATTATATTAGAAAAAAAAGAGAACTTAAGCTTTTGTAAAACGAAGATTTTTTTTTCTTTTCTTTTTTTTTCTTTATTTTTTCATTTTCTTTCTTTCTTTCTTTCTTTTTTCTTGTGGTGGAGCTGGGGGTAGAACCCAGAGTTCCATCCAGGAACTTGAGCAGTCCTCACAGAACCTCTGACAGAACCTACAGCAGTCCTCTGATAGAACCATATCCCTGTCCAAATAAAGATTTTTTTAAAGCTGAGTATTAAGATGGAATCTGAAAGTTTTGTTCTTTGTGAGTGAGTGCAGGATTTTAGGCTCAATGTTTAAAATAAAAAAGATAAAAAGTTCACTGTGCCAGTATTTTTACTTAATTGCTTTGAAAATATGATCCTCTCTTGGAGAGGAGCCTGGGAGATAGACTAGACTAGAAGGACTAGACTGCATGCTCTGCATGTTCAAGGCCCAGAGTTCGATCCCTAATATCACGTGGTCCCCTGAGTACTAAAGTACAGCCCTTGTGGTCCCCAGCATCACTGGACTCAAGTGCTGACTCATTAGCCCTATACAGCTGGCTGAGTTTCACTAGCAGTGTCCCCGTAACGTGTGTGACCCCTGCTTCCTTCTGTACTGCTTGGGAGACCTACTCAAAACAGAGATCAACCAGATTTGTACCACTGATATCTATGTGTGGAGACCATAGGAGTCTTATTTCCGCCTCCCTTCACTTTGAACAGTTTGCTCCGAAGTACAGCTTCAGAAGCAAGTGGTAGTGGTGAAGAGAAGCGGGTCATTTTGACATCCTGGACAGAATTGCAGGGTTTCTGCAGTCAGATGGTTCAGTCAGATTTCTTTTAACCAAGAGAGATTGGGGCAGTATACTTTTATGTTTCACTTTCAGATACCTTTACTGGAAAAGAATAAAACAATCTTTAGAAGATTGAAAATAACCTACCTACTTTGGGGGAAGTATTTCCACTTGCATTGACTACTCAGAACCATTGTTTTTTATAATCCCCATTAAAGTAGTTAATCATTACCTCTACTCGTCTGTCGAACCAGCAACTAATTGGAGTTTACTATGAGTACCACTGGGCATGGGAATCTTTTGTAACATGATTTACATCGCTTTTTTTAAAAAACTAGCACCCTTGAGAAAAACAATATAGGACATAGCCAAAGTCTATTGAACAAATGACAAAATTCTTTAGTTTATGCAGTTGGTTAATCTAGAGTTCCAGAGTTAGAAATACCAAAAGTGCACATTGGCAATTTTCACTCATTATGAAATTCAAACAGTAGCCTAAATAGGTGACTATTTGCAGCTGCATCATGTAACCTTTTAACATTGCTCTGCAAATAGCTCTTCATTTTTCAGCAGGCACAACAGCACCACATAAGCAGAAAAGAAAGCCTGATTGAGATTATATTTTCTGAGATGCTTTGCTTAAAATAAAACAACTATACATTTTAAGGTATTGCTCCATCAGCTACCTTTCTTAATAGATAGGGCAATATAAATAACAATGTTATCTAGGATGCTTTGGTCTGCA